CATAATCATCTTCATCATCATCATCATTAGTATCATCATCGCATCAATGTTATACTAAGCTTTCTGGTGTCCTGGAATTTTTGGGCAGCATCGAGTTTTCTTCCACATCCAGGATATAGGATTTCAGGGATGGTCGAACCCGGACCCATACAGAACGACGCTGGCCGGAGCTGGGGCGTTGCCCTGTAACCTGCACAGGCAGGAGCGTGAGGCCTTGTAGAGAGATCTGGGGGTTGCCGAGGGGGGAATGCAATCCACTGGTGAACCGGGGGGGCTGCTCCGTGGCGAGGAGAGATCAGCTACGGGGGACATTGGTTAGGTCGGTATTGTCTCTGTTTTACAATGTCCTGGTACAGGGAGGGCTAGAAGTTGCTCTAGGATTAGGAGATCAGAACTGTTGGTATAGCATAGCTTATCACAATTAATACACTTTTTTAACACAATCAGCATCATCATCAGTAGTATCATCATCATCATCAGGATCATCATCAGGTTCATCATCATTATCATCATAGTCACCCCATGAGGGACGCTGAGCCTGGTTCTCAATAAGTTCGGTTTTGTTTCTCCGGGCAGACTGTGAGGACCCCAGCCTCATTCCGCTTATTGGTAATATCAGCCTTGGGCGCTGGGCCCGTTTTAAAAAAAAAAAAAAAAAAAAAAAAAAAGGGAGGAGGGGCAGGAGAAGGAGCAGGAGCGGGGCTATGGCGGGATCTTTGTCATGTTGTTTGGCGGAGGAGGAGTGGGAAAGGGAGCGGGAGAAGGAGCGGGAGCGGGGCTAGGCGCGGGAAGCAGAGTGGGCGAAGGAGGGAAGGAGGGACGGGGCGAAGAGCAGGATAAGCAGCGGGAGAAGGAGGAGGAGCAGGAGGAGCGGGAGGAGCAGCAGGAGGGGGAGCGGGAGAAGGAGAGGAAGGAGGGGAGGAAGGAGGAGTGGGAGAAGGAGCGGGAGTTGGGCTATGGAGGGATCTTTGTCAAGTTGTTTGGCGGAGGAGGGGCGGGAGCAGGAGGAGGTGTGGGAGGAGCGGGAGGAGTGGCAGAAGGAGTGGGAGAAGGAGTGGGAGGGGGAACAGGAAGGGGCGGAAGAGGCGCGGGAGGAGGAGCGGGAGGAGGAGTGGGAGGAGGAGCGGCAGGGAAAATGGGGAGGGGGTTAGGAGCGGGAGGACCGAGAGGGAAAACGGGACGGGGCGGAGCCTCGGAGGAGGTGCTGGAGGAGGAACGGGAGAAGGAGCGGAAGGGTTGAAAAGGGTTGGGGTGGACATTGATTGATTGATTGATTGATTGATTGATTGATTGATTGATTGATTGATTGATTGATCGATCCCAAAAAAAAAAAAAAAAATCGCCCCGTTCTCCTTTTTTGTTTCTTTTTTTCAATCAATCAAATCAACTCTCTCTCT